AACGACTTTATTATATGAATCTTTATCGAGATTTAAGTATTGTATTAATTAATACATCTAACCCTTGCACTAGATTGGAAGATATTCTCTTACACACTGCTTAGGTCATGGTCTCGTGGTCACGATTGCTAAATCACAGTTGATCTCGAGCATATATTTGCGCAACAATACTGCTTCTAACTTCAGTTTCCGTCCACTAGAAGTAACTTGTCTACATTTTGTCCTGGTACTATTGCTCGTACTACTTTAATTGTACCCATGATCCTCATCTGTTAGAAAACAGATTTATATCAGAAAGCCTACTTCGCGAAATAGTGGTTGTAAACTTGAATGCAGGAGAGGTTTGATCTTGGCTAGAAAACGTGTATGTTTTATGACTCAAGTTCTCACATAGACGTAATCAAATTGTATGATATCTAATGGAATTAGTTTAACAAATATCTACCCAATTCTTCAATTTGCTAGATAGAACTTTGCTGGGCTGTAACCGCAACCATTACGTGGATCGTACTCATGCACTACGTGATAACTGTATACCTTAAGTAAAAATAGAAACATATCCGTAATTGGAAGAATAATATATCATCGCTTCCCTCAGTGGTAACGTAAACAAATACTTTGCTTAATGTGCAACAAGTGACTATGTCATTGTCCTAGGAAATATACAGTCTTTGATGGTCTTTCTTGAAAGGATCGAAATTACCTAGAGGCAGGTACCTGAGGATGATCTTATGCTCGCGGGAATTACCTCTGACAATTGGTTTTTTTTTGACTAGGCACAACACTGTTAACAATAGACAAATCGATGATTTAAAAATCATACGGCATCCAATATGTGTCAGTCATTATTTTATCAAGACACAATTAAATATTCGTAGTGTTCCTAATAACCCAATAAGTAGCAACCCATTGAATGTACCACACAGTTACACCTAAGATTCATTTGTGTTGAGTTCTACTAAAGTGTACGTCAGCTTTTAACAATTAAAAATGATAGCCTACTCTACTACACTTGAATGTAAAATTGGCATACTGACTGAAGAAGAAAGAGACCTTGGATTTTGCAATCACAAGGCCATTCACACCACGCATATATAGCCATCTACTCCGTTTGCCTGTCATGTATTAACGTTACGTCATTCATCCAAGCGGCTGAGGGGTTTATGTGGCTGAGGGCAGAAGATGAACTGAGGGGAAATGGATACAACTTTTAATAATGATGCATCTTTGGCAAAGTATGTGATAAGACCATATATACACTATAAACACATGATACCTTTCGGATGTATCCTTAAGGCCTTCTGATAATGCAGCCACCAGCAATTTCTAGCACACTTAACCATAACACACCCATTGGACTAACTGTCAGATAGAGTGCATAACAGGGATTGATTCGGGAAGGTATACTTCTCCTGGACAATTTATAAGTGATGCTCTTGGCATTTGAGATAGTGTTGCCATAGGTGTCAAC